ATAGATTATATTTTAGATTTATGATAAATAATTTACACTATAGTATAATATTATTTTATTTATTGATAATTTATTTTAAAATATTAAAATTTAATTCAAAAATATTTATAATTAATAAAAAAATAAATTTGATAAAAAAAAAGTGACTAAAAACTTTATCGTAAGAGAAAAACTCTTGAAAGATGCTTTCACACAAGATAATCCTTCGTATTTAATATATAGAGTTTGACTTGATTTAAAATCATTAAAATTTAGCTTATAAATAATTATGATGAATAAAAGTTGATTTTGATAAAAAAAATTAAAATTATTCTTAAAAACTTTCTCAAGAAATTTTTTTACAAATACTCTCACACAAAATAGTTATTCGTATTTAATATATAAAATTTAATTATGATTGACTTAATAATGAAATTGGAAATAATATGTATAAAGTTTTAAGTTCAAACTTGATTGTTGTTATTGTAATTCTTCCTAATCAAAACAAAAGGTAAGGTTTTTAAATTTATAAAACAAAAAAACACAAATATACTTAATTAAATTATATAAATAAGGTTTTGTGTCATGTTATAAAATATTCAGCCATCTTGTTTAAACTTACAGTTTATTTTATAAAAAAAAAAAAAAACTTTTATTTTTTTTAAAGAAGTATATAAAATGAATTAAAAAACATAAAACTAAATATTTTGATACTTATATATAAAGTTATTTATACAATTGAAGAAAATATAATATTAAATTATTTCTATATAAACTATAGGTTATTTTCATAAATTATTCTGAAAAGGTTATTGAAATAATCAGTTAAAAAAGGTTTGTGAACATATTATAAGTTTTAATAAATTCTCATAAATTTCAAGTGTTTATTATTTTTTTATTATAAAAGTTGTTATTTGTTTTTATTAGTAAACAATAAGATTACAATAATGAGAATAAAAACATTTATAAAAAAAATTAATATAAAAAATAAAAAAAATATGGCTTTATAAGAAGAGGGAATAATATATTGAAAATAATTATATGTGTGTGTAGAGAGAAAAAAAAAGAATAGAGGTATAAAAATTGTATTGGTGTTATTGACTAAATTCATTGAAAATTATAAAATTATGAGAAAAAAAATCATTAAATAGGTTGTAAGACTTATTAAATTTTACGATTTTCAATGAAAGCAAGTGATCGAATGACATTGATGTAATATTTATCAACTATTACCTCATTCAATAACTTTATATTAGATGTGCTTTATAACTTCATTTCACTTTTTATTTTTATATTAAATTTTGTTAAAAATAAGTAATAGTTTCGTATTTTTATATGTTTTGAAATATATATCACGTAATATTTGATTTATATAAATGAGATATCAAATTATTGTGGAATAATATAAATTTTTTTATATATAATTATTTCAAAAGTAAAGAACTTTCAATTTTATAAAAAAAAATTGAAAGAACAATTATTTAAAATAAAATTATTAAATAATGTAGTAATTAGTAAATATTACACCAATAAAAAAATAAATTATTCAAATAGTTGTTGTACAAAATATTATACTAATATGTCTCTTCTCATCACTTTATTTGATGTCTCCCGAAGTTCCAATGAAAAAATATTGGCCAATGACAATATATTACAGCTTTAAATTCACATAACTTAGATGATTAATCACACTACCAAAATTAACACCCATATAAAGAAGTCACTTTGATGATTTGAAAATTATATCTATTGTCTTGTTTTATTGTGTCACAATGTTTCCAAGAAGGCACAAATTTATTATTTTTCTTGAAAATTTGAGAGGTATACATCAATATGTTAGTAGGAGGATTAATTTAATATAATTTTAAAATTAAATAAATAGGAAATTCATATCATATGTTAAGTCTCAATTACACTTCTTTTTGGATAAGACTTGTTGAACAATTCTACTCATTCTTTGAACCATTGCAATATAATTGTTCTTTTTTTGATTCATTTTGTGTGCAGATATAGCTAACCCATAATTTAGCTAACAATACCCTAATACACCTCATTTTTGTGCAGGTATTAGAGAATTGAGGATTGAAGACCCATAGGATTGGAAACCTAAGGAGCTAAGGAGCAGAGAAGAGTGATTGCGTCGGGCGCAAGATGACCCGCGCCGGGCTTGAGCAGAACAGAGTGCCTTATCTCTGGAAGTTATATATGCGCCGGGCGCAAGACTACCCGCGCCAGGCGTGATCGAGGCAGAGAGTGATTCAAACTCTCTGGAAGACATTGCGCCGAACGTAAAAAGAAATCGTGTCGGGCGTGTCTTGAGGCAAATAGTGCTCAACTTCTCTGGAAGGCCCTACGCCGGGCGCAAAGACTTACGCGCCGGGCGCGTAACCCTAATCTGACTCCCCAAGCTCGTATTTGAAGACATTTTCGAGGGCTTATTCCTCATTCACACATTGGGCGCGTTTTAGGAGCTGTGGAAGGGATTCCCGGGCTTGGAGCCGTTCGTGTGTGGGTCTTTCCTTCGGTTCTTCATTCTCTCTTCATCTCTATTTTATGTTTACCCTCATTGTTTTGAGTGGTTCTACCCATTGTTTTGTGGGGTTAGATGTAACCAACGAATTCTATTGTAATCCTTACGTTTTCAATGATATATATATACATGTTGTTCATTCATTGTTGTGTATGTTTATATTCTTAATGTTTGCTTTGGATTGAATCTCCTTTGCATGATATAGGTTCCATTGGGTGTTGGAAAATAACCATTGAAACTAACTCTGAAACAAATGCTTAGTGAGAAATGTATCTAGGAATGGAGCTTGGCCCATTAGTAGTCTTAAACCTTAGCCCGTAATGCAGGTGTAGATATTGGGTACTCAAGGAATTGATATTTAATATTCGCACCTAGACTCTTGCTCTAAGGGATTAGGTTTGAGTAAACTTATGGGATGACTAAGCAATGTATGTAACAAGAGATTAAGGATTCATTAGTCTAACGTTTGGTGAAATTTGACCCCACAATCTCACAAAAGTTATAATACCATTTCTACCATTTTCCACTCACAACCAAATATTTTTATAGTTAACATTCCAGTAGTTATACTCTTCAATTAATCTTCACATGACAAACTACAAATTGGAATTATTCTTTAGTCACGAATAGTCAGTAAATGCTTATTTTACCTACTAATCCCCGTGGATACGATAATTTTACTACTTGAACGACCGGTATACTTGCCGTGTTTGAGACCGTTGATAGAAAAAAAGTGATTTAAAGTGATAACAAAAATAATTTTAACGGAAATCTCAACATCATATTAATTTTATGTCTCTTTACCAAATATATATAGAGAGAGGATGGATCCGTTTACTCTAGGAGTAAGTCTACCTAGACTTACTTCGTTCAATAACTCATGTTTAACATTAAATTTCAACGATCCAACCGTTCAATTTAAAGTTCTTAATACATAGATCAAATTTGTGAATTTTTAGAAAATTTGAAAATCATTTGATACTTTGTTTCATTAATTCAAATTGACGGATAATCATAAAATCATTTTATATATTGATTCAAATTAATGAAACGAAGTATCAAATAATTTTCAAATTTTCTAAAAATTTACAGATTTGATCTATGCATTAAGAACTTTAAATTGAACGGTTAGATAGCTGAAATTTGATGTAAAACATGAGTTATTGAACGGAGTAAATCTAAGTAAACTTACTCCTAGAGTAAATGATTCCTCCTCATATATATATATATATATATATATATAATCATAAAAATTTGCAGATTTGATCTATGCATTAAGAACTTTAAATTGAACAGTTAGATAGCTGAAATTTGATGTAAAACATGAGTTATTGAACGGA